TATNTTTTTATTAAATTTTTAGTCTTAATCTTAAGACTAAAAAAAAAATCTTAAAATCTTAAGACTAAAAAAAAGTCTTAATTTCTAAACAACATCACTTAATAAAAAACTCTGACATGAGAGTTTTTTCCAAAGCGCGGCGCAAATGTCTGGCAACTCGATTTCATAAACGCCGTCCTCGACGAGGCAATTCACAATTTTAATTGTGATTTCGTCTCGCGGTGTTAACTCCTGTAGTTTTTTCTGTACTATTTTCAAATATTGTCCATTTCTTACCGGTCCCAATCTATAACGAGGAACAAGTTTGAATATTTTTTTCTGTCATACCACAGATCCCGGGTTCGATTCCCGGTGGAACCAACAAATTTTCGTAACTTAAGGCTAGACCATGAATTTTTTAATATAATTTTAATTTTAAGAATATAAGGTAACGTCTTCGCAAATATAATATAATTAACGGAAATAAAATTGTAAAAAATAAATAAAGAACAGTCCACTGCAACAGATACAGCTTTGCATGCAAAAGTGCTTCAAATAATGCAGCGAAAAAGTTGGTATCAAAGAAAATTCTGAAGCATCATCGAGTAAAAATACGAATACTTCCATGGTTCAAGTATCTCCCATTATTCTTCTTCTCTATCTACTTTAATTACCTCAATTATTTTATTACCAGATAGAGAAGAATGGGATTTACTATACGTACTCGATGATGCTTCAGATTTTTCTTGCGATACAAACTTTTTCGCTGCATTATTTAAAGCACTTTCTATCGCATGCGAAGCTGTATCTGTTGCAGCGGACTGTTCTTCATTTATTTCTACTATTATTGTTTTTTCCGAATCGAAAAACAACATTCTAACGGAAATTTTATCTCCCTGTTGTAGATTCTTGTACTTATCACTTATGCCCTGTTGCAACGGATGCAAACGAATTTTTCGAGCAAGTGGAGGAGATTTAATCACGTCTCCAAGATCTTTGAGCTCGGCATCTTTTTTTAGTGTCTCATCGTTGCCAAAATCAATTAAGCGGATCTTAGTAGGATTGAGGGATATTACCATAGCTCGATACCAAAGATCTCCATATATCACGCCATAAACTTCACCAATAATCGGCAACATATTTGGTGAATTTTTTATATCATTAACTCGAAACGTGCAAGTGTATCTTCTAATTTAAATACCCAATACGTACTCTTATCTAGCGATTGTATAATTTGCACGGTTGTAAATTCTCTGTTTGATAAGTATGTATCTTTATAAGAAGAATCGTTCACTGAAGAAATACTAATTTGACTATTAGTATTTTCTCTGTCATTATAGCTAGTAGATCCTTTGTTTACGTCTTCATTTATTTGCAATAACAATTAGGTACTATTCCACTAATTCTCTGCGAAAAAAAATATATTACAAAAATTTTAATTTCCATTAACAAAAATAAATCGAAATTAAATAATAAATTGAACTAGGCCGTTAAACAAATAACACAAGAGAGAAAAGCCTTTAATGATTAAAGCTGGATCTTGATGCACATACCTGAAAAATTTTTTTAAATTCACACAGAATTATTAGGCATCAAAATTTAGTCTCGATCATTAAAGGCGCCTCTCTCTCTCTCTCTCTCTCTCGAAATAAATATAATTTTTAATGCTTATCTACTTTTTAATGTCTTTATTAATTATATCTACTAAATTAATACTTTATTAATAGTTACATGCAATAAAAACAATTGTATCGTC